TCAGGAGTCCTAGCTGCTAGGGTAGGAGGAGTTCTGAGGTTGAAGACCCGCCAAGGTCTAGATTTAGAGACTGCAAGACTTGCCAGAAGTAACTCCTGGTAAGGATCAAGGTCTGTGAGTTAGAGGAAGACCTGCCTGTGGGGCTTGGCGTGGTTGTATGGAGAGACCCGGTCCCAGTGTAGGCTGCCTGAGTAGCTGAGCCACCATCTCAAGTATGGGTCACCAAGCCCTAGAAGCCAGGAAGAACATTCAGCCCACTCAAAAAGCAGGAGGGATTGAGTGTGTCAACCATGGGCTCTGCTGAGTATATGTGTGCCATGGCTGAGCAGAGCTCTGCCACCTTACCTCATCCCACAGGAGGCAGGAGCCTGTAGGACAGGGAACTTGAGATGTACTCTGGGAGGAAGATTGGGCAGATCTGGAAGCAGTTGGGAGTTTCAGTTTGTTGGAATTCAGGGCTGTGGGTGTGAGCTGGCCACATTGCAAGGAGACCTGGCTCAGGGCAGGGCTGCAGGCAGGCTTCTCATGAAAGGCAGTGGGGGATGCAGACTTCATGGGGCTGACTGCCCCACCTGGGCCTGTGAGGAGCCAGGATGACCCCTTTACCTGGCACAGGGTGGAGGCTCTCACACTGGTAGGTGCCTAGAGATAGAATTAAGGCACCAGTGTCGGTGCCTCCCACCCAGCAGGCTTCCATTTCAGGCTGTTTGGCCTGGGTGTGTTCGCAACCTCACCCTTGGGGCCTTCCCACTTCTCCTATCCACCCTCCTCAGTCTTGGCCCCTGGGAGAATCTGGGGAATATGTCTTTTGGAAATGACCCCAGTCTGTGGTTGTTCTTGGTAGACATGCCCTTTGTTAGGGATAAGAGGCCTCCCTGGGCCTTGGTTTGGGGTGGGAAATGGGCTCTGTCCCACATTAACCAAGTAGTGTATTTTTAAAAATTCCAGAGTCATACTTGAAGCCAGGCTTAGACCCTGCCAGCCTTTGATGACTCTGGGATTCAGGGTTGACTTCTCACAGGAAACCCCAGTAGGGTGTGAACTTGCAATGTTCAGATCTAAGGTGGGGATGTTCAGATCTGAGGCAGGGGAGCTGGGCACCACCTTTACTGTTCCCTACTTGCCCTAGCAGGAGGGTTTATACAAACCTGTGGGAAGGGACACAGCTTTTTTTGCATGGGCCTGGGAGTCAGCCCTTATTCCATATAGTACCTCTATTCTTTCTGGCAGTCCCCATGCAGTCTGGCTCTTAACACTACTACCATCCCAGGGCAGCTGCAGACATCAAGTAAGGGCCAGGGAGGGCTCACCAGTCTACTAAAGCCTCTTGCCAAACTGTAGCAAGTATTCATCCAACACTAGCTGTAACACCCAGCTGTAACTCGCTCAAAGCCTCTTGCCAAACTGTAGCAAGCATTCACCCAACACTAGCTGTAACACCCAGATAGACAGAGGAATAGTCAGAAACCCACCTGTGGGAACTCTGCAGAGAACAGGCAGGAAACACCCAAGTCTTGTCTGAGGAGAGAGAAAACCGAACAGGATGAGTGAGGCTGGGCAGAGCGGGTACAGCCGCCATGAGATCAGCTCGGTGGCAGGTACTTCCTGCAGCCCTGGGGCCTCTGTGCCCAAGCCCTGGTTCATATTGCAGGTGGCAGTGGAAGGTGGGTGCTGTGAGGCATGAGGATCTGACTGAGAGGAAGGCTTCCAGAAGTGCTCCAGACCCAAGTGAAAGCTGGGGGAGGAAAAGACGGCGATTCTATGTCATGATGAGATCAGGAGGGAACAGGGTCCTTCGTGGCTGTGAAAACTTGTAGTAACTGGTGGCTCTGTGGAGGGGCAGTGACCCCAAGCAGAGGGATGATTCTGATATGGGACCTGTCCCCTTAGCAACCCCCACTCCTCCCTTCCATTCTCTGAGATGGCATGGCATGAGTGTTGGCTCTAGCATGAGGTCCCTGTGGCAAAGGGGTTGGACCCTGGAATGAGCCATGTTGTTCCCCAGGGAGATGAGCCCTTCAGACGTCACTCCTGATTTATAAGATAGGAGCCCTCAGTGGCCGCCCACCACCCATCCCCATGAATCCAGCTGTGAATTTCACAGGCATCTGGATCAAATTACTGGCTCATATCACATATAAAATTAGAGACAGGATCTCTCCGGAAGGCAGAGGTTACCATGGCTCGTTCTAATATGATGCATGCAGGGGGCCCCCAGCTCACTGGCATGCAAAGGGGGAAGGGAGAGATGACACTACCCACAAGGGAAGGCTGGCCGCCAAGTCACACATGCCCCAGGGTGTGAGTCTGGCCTGGAAGGGCTAGGGTAGGAGGCTCTGCAACAGCCTAGGGGGGTTGGGTATGGAATGGGGAACTGTTGTTGGAGAGTGCTACCACACAACCCGGCCCTCACTCCCTAGTTCTCAGCTGCCCAGCCTGTGTCTCCAGTAGGCTGGCAGGGCCCTTTGGGGTCCAGAGAAGATAGTCTCACCACAGTGCCTATTCCATTCCCTGAGGCAGCTGGACAAAGGACCTGCAGGCCAAGGTGGCCATTTAAGCATCATTCCCCAAGGCCCTGGTTTCCCTGGAAAGGAAAGTACTTCAGGGTTGGCTCCTCGAGTCTTGAGGACTGACTTCTCAGTCTTCATGCCACATACCTACCTCCTCACATTCCACAGGGCTGGCCAGGGGGTCTCCGGACCCCTGAGGACACTCCACATAGCCCCTCCAAGCCATTTGTACTCATCCTTCCATGAGGTTTGTGAACGACCTCTTTCCTCACATCAGCAATACTGAATTTTGTTAAGAAATATTTTTCAAGTTCTTTTTCTATGATTAAGAGAGAAAAATGTGACTTTTGTCAGATTCATTCATTTTATTGTCTTCGTTCTAACCATTCCAGTTTTCTGTTGGGTGTTTGCTTTTTCCTATTGATTGTGGGAGCACAGCGCACACAGAGCCTGTCGGGATTTGGTGTCCACCGTGCTGACTTTACCACTGTGCCTTTCTAATGGTGCTATTTTCACCATAGAAGTTTAAATTTTTTTACGTAGTCAAATTTGTCAGCTGTTTCCTGTAACACTTTGGTTCCCGAGTTTTGCCTGCTTCCTCGGAGGGTGCAGACTTGCTTTTTGTATTGTCTTCCAGAACTTATATAATTATGTTTTTTTGCCCCTAATCTAAGTTTATTTTTGGATATGGGGTGAGACAGAGTGGAACCATTTTTCCACATTAAACCTTAGATATCTCAAGCCCTAGAGGACACAAATTATAGCCTAGGGGGCTGGAGAGACTCTGGAGCCAGCTTCCTGGGCTGGAGTCCAGACTGGATTGAGGCTGGGTGCTGGCTGGGGGCTGATTCTCCAACTCCTTCTTCCCCGAGTGGATGGTTGTACAGAACGAAGTAGTGCCCCCAGAAGCACCTCAGATGGTGTCGCAGCTTCAGTGTCCGTCCGCAGCAGCTCAGGTCCTGCCTCAGACCGTTCACTGTCATCTCACCTCTTCCAGCAGAGGGGAGGGAAGGGAAGGAAACCGGGTTCTCCAAGCGTCTAGGTAACAGCCAGTGAGAACACTGTATTTATGACTCCCCTCCCTCGGCCCACTTATCCTGGTGCCCTGGAATAGAGACAATCCCTGGGCTGCCCAGGGCTTTAGCACTCTCACAAATGTGGTCACACTCAGCCAGACTTTGGCCAGCCCCTGGGAGGTCTCTGAAATCCAAGATGGAAGCCACTGCATCTGCTGAGAGGAGAGAAGGGCCAGGTTTGGACACATCCTTCCCAGACGCTTATCTTTCTCATCTCCTAAACAGGGCCACAGTACCCCCCACTTGCTACTCCATTACATGGAAACAGCACTCGAGGAGGGAACCGCGCTTACCTGCTGTAGGCTACGTTCGCTTCTGGGACTGATCCTGGGGGCTGGAAGCACATAATGGTCCTCCTTGCTGGTTTGGGATTGAGGACCACCCTTCTGACATCAACTGGATGGATGCCTCCTTTGCAGCACTTTTCCTTGCTCTCAACTCAGGTCTATCAGGACTGCTTCAGCTTGCACCCACTCAAACCCAACTCTGATGCTCCACAAAGCCTTGGGGGGCATTTGTGAACTTCCGGGTCCTGGCTTTTTGCCCTTCTTTGACCTCTTCCCCTAGTTCATTATGGTTGCCTGCTGACTGTTCGGTGGATGGGAGGCAGCCTCCTTTTGAGTGTGGAAGTGGAGAAGTTAAGAAAGTGGAGAGAAGTCTGGAGCTGCCTTAAAGAGTGCTAAGCATTCGGGTGCCACTGAACAGGCCAACAGGGACAATCCTGATGCTCTCAAACCACTGCCACCCAGAGCACTGACAGGCACTTTTCATAGGTCTTCCAGGTTCTACCCCAGCCCAGATACCCATGCAGGGGTCTGAAGAAAGGTGCTGTCCTCAAGTTACTCTGGCCTCAAGGGAGCTCCCTGGGGCCCCAGAGAGGTGAACCTCAGGCCCTCCCTTGCCCAAAAGACCTGCCTACCCACACAGCATTGTCAGTAATTGGTGGGAGAGTAGCAATGGCTCACAGGAGGACCCAGTACCTAGACCTAAACCCTATCCTCCGTGGTGCTCCTTCTCAAAATGGGTCTGTCAGTTCCTCAGAAGGACCTGATGACTGTATTTCCTCTGTTACCAAATGAGTGGCCTGTAAGCCTGACTCTAACTTCATGAATTCTGTGTGACTTTGGAAGCCTGGCTGACTCCCTGCTGAACCGTGGTGTCAACGTTGCTGACCCGAGCTACATTGCAACAGTCCTGCAGAAAGGAGCTGATATCTTCCTCATATAAGAAATATATAAATCAGTTAAAAATAGTCCTAGGAGCGGATGTGATGCTGCTGTGGCTGTCACAGGAAACACATGAATCAGCCATCCTCAGTCACAGGAAGGTGGGGACAGTCCATGATCTTTGGGCTCCTCCCGGGCTGTTTGGAGGTCCCTCTCCTCACCCTTGACTCAGCCCACAAAGGCCCAGTGTGGCTTCCGTTCCTTTGAAAGGCTGGGATTACTTCCTGAATTCGGACCAACCAGAACTGGCTTGAAGAAGCAGGCAGTTAGCCCCGGGGATACTTACATGTAGGTACATCAGAGGACCTTTAAGCTGCCTATGGGCTCATGTCCACCCTCACCTGGGAAATTGTATGTATTGACTGCAGAGCTATGCAATTCACGGGCTGGTCTCTGTTTTACTTGTGAATGACCAACACCGATGTGCACAGAGGTTCCACCTTGTCCTGCACAGTCACTCAGGGCTGTGGGGATGTTTTGCTGTCTCAGGAGCTGCACTAGTTCATACTGGATCAGAAGAGCAGGTACTGAGGCCCTGGCAACCTGCAGAGGCTGAGACTATAGAGTTACTGCACAGAGGCTGAGACTATAGAGTTACTACAGGCCCTGAGGGAAGATGCCTGTGGACTTCAGTGACTTCTGAGTTTGGGTTCTGTGGGCAGAGCCAGCTCATTTGTTTTTACCTACCTGGAGCCCGAGGGCCCTTAGCATTCTCTGACCTCAGGTTCCACTACTAGGTTAAGGGTGAGGATTCAGCAAAGGGTCTGGGGAAGGATAGCCTAAGACAAGCAGTTTGCTGGAGAACTGGCTTGAATATAAAGTGCCAGACAAACGTCCCTGATGTCCCTAAGAGGATGTGTACATGGCAGCAGTGCTGCAGGAGACTGGGCTGGGCTTCGTTGTGCTGGGCTGGCCCTTCTCTCCAGCTCTCCTGACTGGATGGGTTCTGAGATAAACAGAAGTTACTAAGTAGATGAGGGACTTATTGGGAAAAGCATTCTTTTTAGTAAATCTCCAAAACGAAAATTTAGTGTGATCTCAGAGAAGATAAAAAGTATGGTTCTTTTGTATTTTGGAATCAATGAAAGTTATTTTTCTCTAGCTTCAATATTTTTGTGGGTTCCTAGAAGCTTATGGACCCTGTGCCCTGAGCTTTAGGGTCTGATTGCTAGAAGAACTGAGGCTCCAGACCCTCTTCTTGCAGGTGTTTCCAGAGGGAGAGAGAACTCACCTTTGCTCACTCAATCTGACCTGACAGTAAATCAGGACACTAGCAGCCTATCCCCATGTGCATGTGTATTCATGTACTCCCACAGCCTACACATGCACACACCTGCCTTTGCATCTGTGCACATATGTACATGTATACACCTGTGCTGGAATATATGCTCAGAGGGCAGTGTCCAGTGTATAAATATTTGACTGTACATGCCCCGACCCATGAGCACGTCCATATACAATTTGAGGATACTAGAAAGTAGTTCGCTTCATTGTTCCCCAACCCCTCTAACCTGGCATTAAGCCCCAGCAGGTGTGTACTGACTATTGGCCACATAACTGAGTGACTAAGAGCACGCTTGAGGGCAGGCAGTGAGAGCACAGTTGAGGCTAAAGCAGTGGGCTCAGAGGGCTTGGGCTTGGTGTGGCTCCTGAGTCCCTTCTTTGTGCCAGAGACTCTGTCACACATTCTTCTATTGAGGCTGTGGGATGGACATTACTGTCTCTAGTCTGTAGGGGAAATGAAGGGGTTTCTCAGGGTGAGACCCCAGCACTGTTCCCCATTACAGCTTGCTCTGTGGTTCTGCCTACAGCTGCCCCACCCATACCAGCACTGACTGCTCCTGTTCTGTGGTCCCACCCACCACAGTTCCTCTCATTCTCCTGATCCTCCATCTGCCCATGGCCCTCCGTGCCACTACTAGACCCCTTTCTATTCCCCTCCAAGGCTGCCCAAGTGTTCTCTCTCTACCTCTGCCTCCAGGTACATTCTTGGGCTCTGGGCTTTCCCTTGTGTCTTTGCTATGAGATATGATAAACATATATTTGGTCTTTGGTATCAGCTCCTGGCATAGAGCAACCATAGTTCTTAGTTTATACAGTGATGGTTGTCTTTTGTATGTGGATGAGATAGTTGATTGGGTCTCAAGCTCTAGACAACTATAGGACAGGACTTTCAGAAAAGATTGAACCTTCATTAGAGGGTCAATCTCAGCTCCACCTCTGAGAAGGGAAGAGAAGCTGGAGACTGAGTGGATCACTGATGGGTGGTTTAAATGGTACGATCATGCCCACTCTAGGAAGTTCTCATGACACCCGAGAAAAAAGTGCTGGGTGTCCTTATAGCAGCTCCCATCTGCCAGCCCATATAGCCTATCAGATCTTGTTGGAGGACCCTGCTGCTAGGGTTGTAGTCCTCCATGTCTGGATAGCTCATGGACTGGTGGCCAACGACCCACGAGGGAAGGGAGAAACCCCACAAGATCTCAAGAAGCAGACCCTGGGTACAGGGCCAGGATCACCTGCAGCATTTGATTTGGGGCCTGGACATAGAGGCTGCGACATGGTCGGCCTCTGAGGGACAGGCTGAGTGAAGTGCAGCTAGAGCCTTCTGGGGATGAGTCACCTTTGGGCTCCAGGAAACCTGGCCTCATGACTTCTGCTACGACAACTTGGACTTTCTGCTGAGTGTGAACTGTCACTGCTTCTGTGGAAATGGGAGCACTTGGGGGTCAGCATCGCTGGGTAACTGGGGTCACCAGGGATGGCACTGAGGGCCTGAGGAGAGAAGTCATAAGCCAGAGGGGCCAAAGGTAATGAGGGGTGGTGCAATCTCAGCCCTGGCCAGGCTCAGGTCTCTTCACTGTCTTGTTTGGCCTGACGACCTGAGTTTGATCCCTAGAACCCACATGGTGGAAGGAGAGAACAGACTTCATCAAGATGTCCTCTGACCTCAACATGTGCACTGCAACATGTTTGTAAGCATGCATTTGTATGCATATGCATGCACACATACACACCCATAAATAAATGTATAAAAAAGCTGGAGAAAAGGTTAGGTGTCAGACAGTACACCAGCCCTCTTATGTTGACAACCTTCAGAGCAGATGATGCTCCTGAGGCCAGAGTAAAGCTTCATTACCTCCCCCTGGGAGAGTGTATTCTGGGCCTGGTCTGTATAGCAAAGCTGGGGTCATGCCACAGCTTAGATGGCATCTCATCCACCAAATAGGTAAAGGTAAGATGACTCTGGCAGCCAGGTCCTCTTTCAGACATTATTCTTTGGACATCTGGCAGCTCTGCAGGCATTTCAGGGGCTTGGGCATGTCTGGAGGGAAAATGGCCTCCAGTCACATTGAACAGTTGAGAGGAAATTTGTCTGAATGCCAGGGAATAAAAAAAGATATGAACTAATTGGCTCAGAGACACAACAGGAATACACACAACCACATGACATACACAGGCCAGGCCTGGCACACACATGCCCAGAGATACATTCAAACACATTAGGCTTATATACAGAACACACCACATCACATGCATGTACTCACACACAGAGGGTACATCACACCACATATGTGTTCATACACAGAACATGACACATCACATACATGTGCTCACACAGAATACATACTGCACTACATGCATATGTTCACATAAAGAACATGCTACAGTGCATGTATATGCTCATATGCAGAGCACACCACACAACACACATATGATCACATATGGAGGACATACCACATTGCATGCATATGCTCACACAGGACACACATCACATGTGTGCATGCAAAGAACATAAGACATCATATACATGTGCTCACATATAACATACCACATTACATTCGTGTATTCATAGACAAAAAGGATATAGCACATCACACACGCATATTCCCTCTTTCCACAAAGGATGCACGGCATTACTCACATGTGTTTATACACAGAACATACCACTTTACACATGTTCCTGTTTATAGTTGTCTACACATCCTTATTCCACCACAGCCTTAGCTGTCAGGCAGGCTTGGAGATCAACGTACTGGAGAAGACCCAAGACTATGGGCTTCCGAGATAGAGCTGGCAGGAAGGTCACTGATGTAAGCCCTGCGGACGCTGACCCCAGAGCTGTGGTTTCCAGCAGGACTCTAAGGGCCCTGGGCCTACCCTACCCTTTACTTCTACCTTCATGAGCCAGGTGCTAGAGGCTGATCAGGCTGTCTCAATACCTGCTCTCCCCACTCCAAGCACAGATCCTAATATGAAGAAGAAGACACATCAAGGAAGTAGTGGGGTTGGGTGACTCAAGTTTCAGGCCCCCCAACACTTTCCCATAGCCACAGCCCTTTTCTGACGCTGGCCCCAAGCCAAACTTCCCAGCCATGAGAGAGAGAGAGACTCAGAGATAGCGTAGGCAAGGGCTAGCAATGCTCACAGTGCTAGCAGAGAGGGCGTTTGGTGAGCACTGTCTCTTGTGCTTCTGCAGTGCCACCTGCTGGCTGCACCCCTGTCACTTCCCAGACCTGGGGTTCACATTTCAATAGGAGACCAGGTCTCCCCATCCTCCCACATCTCTAAAGAGCTCCAGAACCAGTTAGCACCAACTTGCTGCATTCAGGTCCCACATGGTCTGAAAGAGGAGAGCAAGGCTGCCAGGGTCAGGATGTGTTCTCATGGCACTTGCCCACATGCTGGTATTTCCCTTTACCTTCTCACAGGCTGCTGCTTGACTCTGGTGATTCTTGCTCACTGGACCATACCCACCTTTCCAATTGGCTGGTTCCCAGGGATGCATCCACTCCTGCCTGGGAGACTGTGGCCTGCCTTGCCCAGTCATTCATCTGTTAGAGTGGTTGGTAAGGCTTTGGGGAACAATCTCCTCTATAGATGAGGAAACAGAGCAAGAATTGCTAGAGCAGACAGGGCACAGCCCCACACTCTACAGCTCCGTCGGGATTTTGAAGTCTTTTTCTCTTTACGAGTGCTGACTCTGTAGTCGGCTTCTCCGGGCCCACGTCTTCGTCTCTGGACCATTATTCTACTCAGTTCTCAAATTTGATAGCTTCTAGAACTTGCCAATGGGTCCTTGCAGACCCTCCCCAGGGTTGTATCCTGACCAAGGGAAGCCAGGCTGGGACTCCGTGCCTCTGGCAGGTCTCTGTGCCAGAGGCAGAGATGAGAACCCATGGGAGAGCCCTGATCTCCAGTTACAGGCTCTCCTCCACTCCTCCAGCTCCTCACTACCCCTACTTTGGTGCCTGGCAAGGGGTGCACACACAGACATACAGTGCCCACAATCTGGATATCATGGCTTCCCTGGTGGTCTGCCCTTCAGGCCTGGGAGCTCAGGGGCTGTTTGATCCTCCTAGTTGTGAGATTCCCAACACTCCTGCCACTCCAGCAGATACAGACTTGGATGCGGTTTCTGCATGATAAGTGGCTCTGGGGTGCTGCCCCGCCTCTCCACATCTGCACAGTGCTCTGAGAGACAGTGATGCCAGACCCCAGGTGCCAACCTCAGCCCATGTTCCCTTCTAGGACCTCTTCTCAGCCCTGATCAAGGGCCCCACTCGAACCCCCTATGAAGATGGCCTCTACCTGTTCGACATCCAGCTCCCCAACATCTACCCAGCTGTGCCCCCCCCCGCTTTTGCTACCTCTCCCAGTGCAGTGGCCACCCTGAACCCTAACCTGTATGACAATGGGAAGGTGTGCGTTAGCCTCCTGGGTACCTGGATTGGAAAGGTAAGGATAGCACCGGAGCCCCAG